AATGTTTGTCTTCATGTATTTCTCATTGTTATTCTTAAACAGGATTGTCACTTGAGGGTCAGATTAGAGCTCATTCAACCACAGCAGTGGCATCAATAGTAGCCAGCCTCAGGTCAGTCTTGCCTCTTGAGATTTTCAGGGCAGTCACTTGGAATTTATTGTATAGTTTTACAAAACATTATTGCCTCAACATTGTATTGTGTAGAGAATTTAAATGTAGTGTGGCTGTACCTCAACATGGATTCCTTCTGCGTGCACAATTCTCCTTGCCATATTTTGGGAAACATATTTTTCTTATCCTGTGTAGTAATTTTGTTTTGTAAGTAATTATATCCTCACTATTGAAGTATATATTTTTTAAATGTATTGCATATTTTTGCACATGGTTTATTCCCTCTTGTAAAAAGAAAAGTCACTATTAATTTACGTTAATGTAGTATATTTCCATTCTGTTAGGGGCATTCTCTTAGTTTTGTAACATCAGAGCAGGCCGCTCTAATTTGCACTTGGCTGCAGATGACAGAGGGTCAAAGGTGCTGCAAATATTGATGTAATGTATCAATTTTTCCTGCCAATACCCTCTTTTGCTTATTACACTAGTATTGGGGAGCACAGATGGTATAACATTTGTGCCACCAGTCGATTTCCATTTCATTGGGGTTACCTGTTTTGCTGGGTAAACCAGTTTTAAAGCCAGATGACACTGGTAGTGCTGAACAAAGTGGACTTATCTCTGTGGAAGATATACCCCATTGTGTCTCTTGCAGAAAATTACCCTAGCAGGTTCAAACTTTTCAAAATAACCATTCAATTATAATTGATGCTAATGGTATTTGGAGCCCTGAGTTTTAAAGAAACATCCCTTCCCAGGGTGTTGCTACAGGGGCAGAGTTAAGGTGTTCAGGTCCCGTAGCTGTGCATTTCTGTACTTTAAGGTGATTTAGATTTCTTTTATATGTAAAAAGAAAAGGAGTACTTGTGGCACCTTAGAGACTAACCAATTTATTTGAGCATGAGCTTTCGTGAGCTACAGCTCACTTCATCGGATGCATACCGTGGAAACATCCGATGAATGTTTGCATGAATGATGAATGTATGCATCCGATGAAGTGAGCTGTAGCTCACGAAAGCTCATGCTCAAATAAATTGGTTAGTCTCTAAGGTGCCACAAGTACTCCTTTTCTTTTTGCAAAGACAGACTAACACGGCTGTTACTCTGAAACCTTTTATATGTAAATTTACCTCTGAATTTCTTGGATTTGTGAGGTTTGTTTTGGGTATAATTGCAACATCCTTGTAATAGTTTACCCTTAAGTTACTGATATGTACTCAACATTGTAATGCAATGTGTATGACTTTTTGCTTGTTTTGATCTCCCTTAATTTCCTGGACCTGATTCAGATTTGTGTATCCTACATGTGAGAGTTGCATTCACAGCTGGTCCCTCCAGTTTCCAGAGGGATTCTGAGGAAATGGCTGGAGGGAACTGTTTCCTTGTCAAAGACAACAGATGGTTACTGAAATGCTGCCTCTTTGTCTTCCTGATGGCCACATGCTTCTCTTGTATTAACATACCTGCTTGTTCTCACCACTCCCCCAGCTCTTCCAACCCCCAAACAAATGTCATAGTCTACCACCTTTGCAACAAACTTATCCACATCACTTATCTGGTATATCCCTAGGACCAGTGCTGAATCCCCATCCATGCATACAGCCCTCTCTTGCCCACTCAGACGCTGCTTCAGTTCTCCTGCACATCTTGCTGGTGCTCCCTTGCTTTTGCCACACTTGGAGCCTGCTTTTCCAGTTCTTGCTTCTGTACTTCCTCCACCGCCAACTCTTGCTCTCCTGCACCTGTTAGTTTCTGCTTCCCACCCTCAGCTCTTCTCCTTACCCAGTCCCTAGGTCAGCCTTCTGGATTCTGCATTTTGTCCCTTGCTGTTTCTGGGGGTGGGATGCTGGTGGGGTAGCGCAGTGTGCGAGGCCCCAGGATGGGCTCTGGTTGTTCAATGAGTAGATTGTAGAGTTGGCCCGTCATTATAAAAACAAGCTATCTTCAGGGTTTATATTTATTCTATAAACGTTGGGTAAAATCCTGGTCCCATTAAAGTCAATGGAAAAATGCCCATAGATGTCAGTAGAGCCAGGATTTCATCTATTCCCTGAGCTGAAATCTGGCATGTAAATAAATGGCTGGAAGACAGTACTGGGGGAGCCATAGCTGTTCTGTCCTCTCTTCCTCTCCCTACTTCTGCTGGCACCGTTGTTACATAGTGGTGATTGTGAAGGTATCTCCTGACCACCTCCTCTTTCGTCTCCTCTCTCTTCTTTGGCTGGCCACGTCTCATTTCTTTCTGCTGCTATAGCCTTCCAGGTCACACGCTGTTGGATAGTTGGATTATGACTTCAAAGGTATGCTTGCTAACGATCCTTTTTCTCCATCTATCTTACTTAAGTGACTCCCGTTATCATAGTATCTGCATGCTTCACAATCTTGAACATGTACTTAACCTCAACACCCCTGTGAGGTAGAGAAGTGCATTTATCCCCATTTTACAGATGAGGAACTGAGGCACAGAGAGACTAAGTGACTTGGCCAAGATCTTACAGAAAATCTGTGGCAGAGCAAGGAATCAAATCCAGGTCTCCAGAGTCCTAGGCTCGGTCCCTAACCACTGGATCATCCTTCTTCTCTACCTCTGTACACTCTCTAGTGTTCACCCTGAACAACTTTTCAGTTATTAAGAATCAAGATTGATTCCTGGTATTGTGCTTTTTTTAAAAGCAGATTTTTTTTTTTTGTGGGGGATTTAAAGGTGCAATGTTTCTCCATTTTTTGCCTAAATCCTGAATATTGTTATTGGTTTAAGTTAATTTACTGTTGATTGTTATGTTGGTGTGTGCAGGGTAAAATTAGCTAAATTTTAACATGTAACTTTATTATTTCAATTTTAAACTTTGTCAGACTGTTCATATGTTTTATAAGAAGAAACAAGTTATTAACTGAAAATGTGAGAGGTGTGGAGTTAATTATTTTGCACAAAATATGGCACAGGGTAGGCTTGGCTAAGTGCAGCAACATTTAGCTAATTAAACTGGTCATCAGCTCCACACTGCTAGTCTTACAATACAAAAAACATGATTCTCAAGGGTTCAAACCAGATTTTACCAATATGTAGAGCTATTAAAATTAGTACTTTTTTTGTAAAACTACTAGCATATGGCTAGCAAACAATGTTGCAAAACAACACATGCCACGTTCGTTACATTTTAAAATTACCCTGCTGTATGTGCTCAAAAAGGAATTAGGAACAGGGGAAATATCCTCTGCATGTACGGAAGGTACATTCGTGCGCATACAATGAATTTCCAGGTAATTAAAGTTGCTTAGTACAATGAATGGTTTGAAAAGAGATACAGGAAAATTGCTTGGGCTTAAATACCATAAGTATGTAATTGCAGAGAATGGTATACATTTGTCTGGTGTCTGTTGTTTCTATAATCTGTTATACCCTATGTTGTAACTGAATTTCTTTTTGCCCTAGGGCATTTTTGGGAGTGAGGCAGCATAACTTAATATGTTTTTTCCTTGGTAAACAAATTTTAAAAGGAAAACATGAATATGCTTTAAACTACATAAAGCTGGAACAAATAGCCTCCCCTTCTCTGTGGCTTTGTAATATGTTCATCCTCAAATTATTGGGCATTATGATTTGATTCTTTATGTTCTAGTTTTAAGCTTTTCTAATTGGAACTCATTAAGTGCTGTTATGGTGAGTTGCCTCTTTCAGTTAGATGGAAATTTCTCTTTCATTGTTAGTGTTCCATAGCAACAGAACACCCAGTGATCATGCTGAATGCCCCACAAACACAAACCAACTTGCCCCAGGTGGAACCCTAGTTATTGACCCAACCCTGTGCACTTTAAATCAGGCACTCTGCACACTCAAAGGCAGATTCTCAGATGGTGTAAACTAGCATAGGCCCATTTCAGGTAACTGTAATGAGCCAATGGCAGTTAACACCAGCTTGAGGCTGTGTCCCCCAGTGTCATGATACAGGCCCTTAACAAATAGAGGGGAGTGGATGGGGAAGATCAGCAAGGGAGGCACTTCCACTGGCTGGCATCAATCCTGCCGTAAGTGGCCCTCATATCGGTCAATCACAGGCCAGCTCCAGGTGTGTTAAATCCATCCAAGCCTGTAGGCACACCTGGGCCCCTTCTCCTCATCCCTTTCCGTGCTGTCTTGGCAAACATAACAACCTATGCTTCCATTCAAGGCTTGATGCAGCATTTTAAAGAAACAACAAAACTCACCTTTTCTATTAATTGTGGGCAGGAGAGAAATCCATAATTTCAGATGAGTTTATGATCTCAGTTTTGAAGAGAAAATCTGGTCTGAGTTATTATCACCATTAGCACTTATATAGCACTATTGCAATTCTTCGTGTATTGTGGGAGTTAAGGCTGAAATCCTAGCCCCATTGAAGTCAGTGGCAAAGCTCCCATTGCAATCGGTAGGGCCTGGATTTCACCCTAACTGCTAAATCTTCATAACAACTCAGTAAGGTAAGAAGTTGGGCTTCTAGGTACTATGGTAATACAAATAAATAATAGTAATTTTCCTCATTTTATAAATGAAGAAACTGAGGCAGAGGGGTTAAGGTGCTATACTTGTAAGAGCCCATGTGGAGTTTTGCATGCACCTAAATTTTGTGATCCTAAAGTCCTGTGCGCATTTACCTGTATGCAGACTTGACTTGCATATGCATGCCAGGCACAGTTTAAGTACACTCAAGTGTCCGTCACCTTTTTGCATATGTGCCCTTACAAAAACAGACTCAAGTAACTAGAACAGTGGAGATGCATATTAAAGAAATTCCTAAATTCCTGGCTCCATCTCCCTTGAAACATGAGTTTATACCTCTTGCTAGTTTCATGAAGACTCATCTTTCTCTGATTGGAATTTTTGTTTTTTTTAATTTTTATTTTATCATAGGATTTGAAACTGCAAAGTCTCTTGCACTCCATGGTGCCTATGTCATTCTTGCCTGCAGAAATATGTCGAGAGCCAACAAAGCTGTACAATGTATCCTAGAGGAATGGGTAAGGAAACATATTTTTTTGAACGCTTAGCAAATTCTACTATCTTCAAAACAATGTGCCGTGTACGCTGATGAGTTCGTTTTGTGCAGTATATGCTGTTTTATAAATGTTATTTTTCACTTATCAGAATTCAAGAAAACAGCTTTCTTTGTATTGTAATAATCACTTTAGTGCGTAAATGTATTTACAGATGGAACAAAGGAGCTGTGCCATTTTATAATGTGTATGTACGGTTAATTTTAAGCATCATTATACTATGGTTGGAAGGTTATTTTAATGCTAAAAAATTTGAAAGGACTAATGAAGCAAATGCCATTGGTGACAGAGAATTTCATAAGCATTTAAATATGTGCTTAATTATTCTTGAGATTCAGTGTAATGCCCTTGCTCCCTTGGTCACTATTACTTTGAGAGTTCCATAAAATTCTGCCTATAAGGTGTTTCAAGGAAATCATTTTTGTCTCATAAATACTTATTCTCCTTCGAGTACTATCCCTGTTGGGGCTCCACTTCAGGTGTACATGTGCCTCTTAAGCCCTCAATTGGAGATTTTCTGTTAGCATTGTCCATTCGGCCTATATAACCTCGTGACGTGCTTAGAGGGTACATAGGCCTAAGCAGGTAAACTGCCTTCTATTCCTTCTTCGATGCCTGGGCCTGTGACAGAGCTCTAGTGTGTCCAACTCATGCATGCCTCCTGCTAGGTCTATGATATCAGCGGCCTCAGCTTCTCAACTTGGTACCATGGAGGCAAAAGACTCTTCCTCTGGTACTGGTGGAGCAGGGAGATCCCAAAGCATTTTAAAGAAAAACACCACCAGCGGGCCTTAGTACCATCTGTCTCCAAATTGGCACAGTCTATTTCAGACTTACCAATGGTGTCTTCTCACTCTGCTGCATTGGTACTGACAAAATCAAAGTACACACCTTTGGCCCTGGCACCTACACACTCCAAACCAATGGTACCACCCAAGTCAGCTGCTGTGTTGGTACAGACCCACTTGGTACCGCAGGCATTCAGTTACTTCAGAGACTTGTCAGGTTAGACAAGCTGGAGTCCCCACTGCTTATGGGTCTCTGGTTTACCAGCGCTTCACAGTACCGCAGGATTCTCCACCTGTTTCTACTGGGTCCCCTCCATCAGAGGACATTGAGGATAGTCTCCTCCTTATCCTCTCCGCATAATTGCAGAAACACATACTTTGACAAAGACCTTCAACCACATCATGGCTACCTCCCTCTCTCCCATATGGACCTCTCCAATGGCTATACTGTGATTCTTGGGTGGTGTATCAACAGTAATTGCCAGACCTCTGGATCCACTGCGCCAGGAAATGATGGTCACATGGTCTCCTCCCAACTTCAGAAGACCTTTGAGGAACAGAAGGCTAGGGGGTGGATGAAGAGACTACCCCTCAAATCCCTATTTTGTCCCTCCTTCCAACTTGTAAATGGGCAAATAAGGAATATTATGTTCCCCCCAGAGACTTAGAATTTTTGTTTTCCCATCCCCACCAATTCCCTGGTGGTGGATGCCGTAAATGACTGGGGTGGACAGCATTTTCCCAGGTCGATTCCTTTTATGACAAGGACCAGAAAAGGTTAGAATGTTTTGGATGGAAGGCTTAACTCTTTTGCAACCCTCAGTTTGTGATCTGATACTGATCAGGTGATTGTGGACAAGTATGACTACCTGAATTACAAGTTTGCATCCTTTATTGAATATCTTCCACAGGACCATAGAGAACACTTCTAGGCCAACATTAAGGAGGGTCAACTTTTAGCCAGAACCTCTCTTCAGGTATCCTTGGATGTTGCAAAAATGGACAATATTTGACAGACCTTAAAGACAAGAATGAGAGATGATGAGAATGTGTCAAGGAACTATATGGTGAAGATATTCCTGAAAAGCTCAACTAGAGATGAATGAGGTAAACCTGCCAATAATGGATGAAGAAATCATGGCAGCAATAAAAAGTATGTGAATGGAAAAGCACTATGTTGTGATGGTATACTGGCTGAATTGTTTAAAAGCATAGGGGTTGAAAGTTTGTAAGTCCTGTCAGAGGAATGAAGAATATGCTTGAGACAGCAGAATTTCCAAAAGACGTTACAACCTCACTGTGTAGCCAAATCCCCAAAAAGAACAACTCTATGGATTGTAAAGACTACAGAACAGTCAGTCTAACACTGCATGCCTCTAAGATACTTTTGTGAGCAGAATACAAGGAAAGATTGATAAGGAAATAAGCAAACAATATGGCTTAAAATGTGGAAAGGGCATACTAAATGCCATTATGAACTTGAAGCTCATATTAGAAAGATCAATTGAAATCGAGAAAACCGTATACTTGTTAGGTATACTTTTATTTGGGAAGTCATTCTTCTCATACAAATTACTTAATATATTAAGATCTGTAGGGATTGATGGATACAAACTGAGTAATAAAATAATTTATATTGGAATCAAAAGGCGATTATAATGGGAAATTGAAATGAAAATCTAGTAGGGATCAAGAGAAGAGTTAGGTTTGTATAATATCACTGACTTTACTCAACACTTGTAGCAAGTTTAGATGAAATTAAGCAGAAGAAGGTATTAAGATGAATGGAAAATGGAATAATATTTGCTATGCAGATGACACGGCACTGTTGGCTGATTCAGAAGAAGGTCTGTGCAGTTAGTGGAGATTATATATTCATATGACAAAGAGTATGGTCTATCTAAGGTCATATGTGGACAAGTCAAAAACCATGGTGGCATGCAAGGATCCTAGAAAGACATGCAAGATTATAGTGCATAACATAGCCATACAGTAAGTGAGACGTTTTTGCTACTTAGGAAGCATCAATACAAAAGATGGAAGATCAGATACTGAAGTCAGCACCAGAATAGCAACAGCGAAAGAGACATTCTGGAAGAATAAACACCTGAGGAGAAGGAACATAAATCTGAAGACTAAATTCCAACTCTTAAAACCTTGCATTTGGTCTGTGTTAAATTACAGCTGTGAAACATGGGGATTCAAACAATCAATCTGAAATTATGATGTCATAGAAGAACTTTAAAAATATCATTGATAGAGACATGTAATGAAAAAGTATTGGAGATTATTGGAACTCAGCAAATGCTAGTCAGAAATCTTATGAAAAGAAAGATTTGATTTGCAGGGCACATTGTAAGGGCTTCAGCTGGTGATGCAAGTTTACGGGTACTGGAAGGGAAAATTAATGGATGATGTGATATGCTGGATGAATCAAAAGGACTATTCATCCACTAAGAGATTAGTGGAGGGTCGTATGGAATGTGCTACCGTGATTGCAAACCTCCTTTAGTGGAGATGCCACATAAGAAGAAAAATCATTTCTGGAGCCCAGTTTTTTGAAGAAGGTATTTTGGATTAAAGCTTTCTCTCTCTTGGGCCTGTAAATTCCAAATACTGTATTTTAAGGTTTGTTTTTTCCATAGTCCTAACTGAAATGGAAGCTGCCTGTTTTCTTTGTTGCAATAACACCAGTGGAATATCTAAAGGGCCCACTAGAAGATTGTATTTGTGTTGCTTTTAAATTTGGCTTTAGATTATCTTCCAACATCGCTGGATTTTTGAGTAGTCCCTCTTTTGAATTGGTTTGTTCTCTTTCTAAATGTCCATAAGTAAATGTAATTAAATTATTTCAACAGAAGAGTGAAATGACATGAAATAATGGTGAGTGCCTCTTACATATAATTTGCTTTGCACATTTAATTTAAAAAGTACTTTTCCAGAAGTTATCAAAAGTCAGTGAAAGCAACAATTGTTTTTAGTACGTTGTACAGACAACAAGAGTACCAGACTACTTGTGTAAGTACATATATTACCTCACCGAAAGTTAATGCATTGGTAATTGAATGAAGATTACTGTCTTGGTCAAATTACTTAAAAAAAAAACCACTACATTTATTTACTAACAGTTCTCAAATTCTAATTGTTCAGAATACAATCTCATCTGTAAACTAGGTAGCTGGAGAACCTTCAGTGCATCTTTGTAATGGCTTTGTTGTTTATTGAGAGGCACTAATTAAATTTGATTATTGCACTAATATTGTGGCATTTTGACAGTCCCTCAGATTTATGACTCTGGGAAAATAAACAAATGAAATGCAGGTGCTGGAGCAGAAAGAATAAGTTATTACTGAACTTTAATTACTTGGAGTGTGTAACCAGGAGAGAATTAGTTGGCGAATTACAACATGCTTAAAATTTACATCAAATTGTAAGCAATCTTGAGGAGAATGGGGGTGGGAGAGAGAAAGAGACACAACACAGTTATCCTAAATAAAAGGGGGAAGATAATTTGTAATTTGTAATACTTAAGTAGATAAAACAGCTTTTAAAAATTCACAAATCTAATGGAAATCTAATGTTTTTTTCTCTGAATATTGTCTATGAATATTTTCAATAATTAATTTTATCTGATTTTTGTTGGAGACACTGCATGTGTGATAATTTTAGAAATTTATACTACTGCTTATGATACTCATATAAAAGTCACAAATGTACCATTATAACAACAAACTTAGTGTGTTTACAAGAGTAGCAAATAAGACACAAACACTTGTAACAGATCTAAGGTTTTAGAAAAATGTTTGAGAAATAGTGTGATTAAAGATTTGTATCACACAACTCAGTCAACCTGTGGAACTCATTGTCAGGGGATGTTGTGAAGGCCAAAATTGTAACGGAGTTAAAAAAGAAATAAATAAATTCATGGAGGATAGGTTCATCAATAGCTATTAGTCAAGATGATCAGGGACACAACCCCATGCTCTCTGTGTCCATGTGCCTCTGACTTCCTGATGCTGGGACTGGACGACAGGGCATGGATCACTGTTCTCTTCATTCCGTCTGATACATCTGGTATCATCCACTGTTGGAAGACAGGATGCTGGGCTATATGGATGATTCATCTGACATAGTGTCACCATTCTTATGTTCTTTTGATACGAATGCATATTTGGGCAGAGTTAAGGTTGTGTGTTCTTCCTTAAGATTCACATTTCTTACTTTGAGTATTTCCCTTTGCAGCCTTTACAGTCTGTTTAATGTAGGGCCAAATACTAAGAGGTCCTGAGCACTTACAACTTCTAATGAACCTGAGAAGTATTCTGCTTATTTTAAAGTAATCAGGAATGTTTAACTACCCGGAACATGATTAAAGAAACAAATATTTTTGTTTAAAGTTTTGATTCTCTTGTATTGACTTGTTATGTATGTATTGCATATCTAAACTTTTTATGGGAAAAATATAATTCTTGTTTAAAAAAATGTGAAGACCTATTATGATACAGAATTCAAAGAAGTAAGTTATGAAGTACAGTATGATTAAATGAATTTATGAGAACAACCTGAGTAAAGCCCTTAACTTCTGGTGTGTTTGATTTATGAGATCATCATCAATAGTGCCATAAAATGTAGGTTCCATTAGTATTAGTAGAGAGCTAGCTTTTTTTGTTGGTGTTAGTTTTGTTACTACAAAAGAATCAGTTATTGTAACACAAAAATCAGCTTTAGATTATCTCTTTTTAGTTAATGTTGCAATTCAGATATAAAAGTAAGCTTAAAAAAAAATCATGTGGACTGAAAAAAACTTGATCTAAAGGATTTGAGGATAATACTGATGATATCCAGGAAAACAAGGTTCGTCAGATCAGCAGTTGCATGCACTGTAAATTAAAAAACCACAGGGGATGACTTGGCTGGTTGTTGAAGACCAATGTAGAAAACCATGAATGTTCTGCTATTTATGTCCAAAATGCTATTTTGTGAGGACTTGGATACCAACTCTGCAATGATCACACTTGAAAACTTGTCAGCTACATTAGGGAACGGTAACTGCATAACATTTAATGTTGTACTTGCGGTATTCTACTTACTTCCTATAGTAAAGTATAGTGAAGTTTAGATAGTACTGCAAATACAGAAATAATTGTCTTATCTGGATACCTAAAGCAACAACTTTTCAAGTGTGGCCATTGTAGCTTTTCTTTTTTAAAACCAAAAGATAAAAAACCAACAACCCCAAACCCACTCACATTTGACGGAATAGTAGTGGAGTATGTTGGTATGGACTGAGAGATATATTGTAAAGGAATCAAACCAAAGACAGACATTTGTTGCTTTATAGTAGATGTCTTGAAAATGAAGTTGCCCATGCACGATAAAGCTCAATGTCAGTTTAAAACTGAGTTTGATAATTTCTTACTCAGAAGAAAGGAAATTGGAATTTTAGAGCTATAATTAATTTTAATCATACATTGTCAAACAAATCTCTCCTTGAGTAGTGGAAAGGCCCTAAAGCAGCCAAGAAAGAATATCAATACTTTGCAAAGGAGGAATGATTGTTCCAATTCGCAGCTTAATTGACTTTAAAGCTTAATGAAAAACACTACGGTGCTGTTAGTACACATAGTTGCTCTGATGAACATTGAAATCTATGCTCCAGAAAGAGGAGTTAGGGAGCTTTTTATATTGTATTATTGATGCATTTTTCTAACTGAGTGTAAGCATAACAGTTGGGCAGAGCTACATAGCTCCAGATGTTAACTATATTCTCAAGAAAATTCTTCAAAATGTGGATGAATAAAATATCGTGCAGCCTTTTGTGTTGAGAAACTTACATGTATTTATTCCTATCAGATTTCAGTCTTTTAAGCAGATATTAAAAATAAATGTAACGTTTATTTTTTCTTAACAAAAAGTCTAAAGAAATGTTTCTTTTACTTTTTTCAATATTAAGACAACAGTTACTTCAAATAAAGATTAAATTATTGGCAAACTTAAATTTCTGTTACATGAAGACGCTTGTAAGGTATAGATGTAACAAGAGTAGATAAAACATCTAACTCAGAACAGCAAGATAAGTTTGACACTTGCCTCCATCCTTTTCTCAAAGTATTGTCTACCTGGGGGTAACGCCTATAAAGAATGATTGAATGACAGACACTTGCTGATTAAATTATTGTGATTGAAATTAAAACCTGATCTTTAAGGCTTGGCTCTCCAACTGTTACCCAACAGAAATATAGGAAGACAGGAAGCAAGCTGTATGCCCAGGCTTTGTGCATGTGTCCCATTTGTGAGGAATGCATGCAGCACTTTTCATGCAATCTATACATTAGCCTAGTTTTTCAAGGAAAAGGGACTACTCTGCCAGTTAGTGAGCCTCAGATGTTGATTTGGTTCTGTGAATTGAATATGTACGTTGAAAAGAAATGTTACCTCTATCAAGCAAAAATTCTTGTGCGGCCTTCAGCATCTTGACACCTGTGGATGTTAATCTTGATCTAGAAGATAAAACTCTTGTGACTAGGGTGACCAGTTTTCAGAGTAACAGCCGTGTTAGTCTGTATTCGCAAAAAGAGAAGGAGTACTTGTGGCTCAAGCTGTAGCTCACGAAAGCTTATGCTCAAATAAATTGGTTAGTCTCTAAGGTGCCACAAGTACTCCTTCTCTTTTTAGGGTGACCAGATGTCTTGATTTTATAGGACAGTCCTGATATTCGGGGCTTTGCCTTATATAGGTGCCTATTACCCCCTGTCATAAATATAAAGGGAAGGGTAAACCCCTTTGAAATCCCTCCTGGCCAGGGGAAAGCTCCTCTCACCTGTAAAGGGTTAAGAAGCTAAAGGTAACCTCGCTGGCACCTGACCAAAATGACCAATGAGGAGACAAGATACTTTCAAAAGCTGGGAGGAGGGAGAGAAACAAAGGGTCTGTCTGTCTGTAGTCTTCTTAGTCGGGGATAGACCAGGAATGGAGTCTTAGAACTTTTAGTAAGTAATCTAGCTAGGTATGTGTTAGATGATGATTTCTTTAAATGGCTGAGAAAAGAATTGTGCTGAATAGAATAACTATTTCTGTCTGTGTATCTTTTTTGTAACTTAAGGTTTTGCCTAGAGGGGTTCTCTATGTTTTTGAATCTAATTACCCTGTAAGATATCTACCATCCTGATTTTACAGGGGGGATTTCTTCATTTCTATTTACTTCTATTTTTATTAAAAGTCTTCTTGTAAGAAACTGAATGCTTTTTCATTGTTCTCAGATCCAAGGGTTTGGGTCTGTGGTCACCTATGCAAATTGGTGAGGCTTTTTATCCAACATTTCCCAGGAAAGGGGGGGGTGCAAGTGTTGGGAGGATTGTTCATTGTTCTTAAGATCCAAGGGTCTGGGTCTGTAGTCACCTAGGCAAATTGGTGAGGCTTTTTACCAAACCTTGTCCAGGAAGTGGGGTGCAAGGTTTTGGGAAGTATTTTGGGGGGAAGGACGCGTCCAAACAGCTCTTCCCCAGTAACCAGTATTAGTTTGGTGGTGGTAGCGGCCAGTCCAAGGACAACGGGTGGAATATTTTGTACCTTGGGGAAGTTTTGACCTAAGCTGGTAAAGATAAGCTTAGGAGGTTTTTCATGCAGGTCCCCACATCTGTACCCGAGAGTTCAGAGTGGGGGAGGAACCTTGACACCCTCCCACCCCCATCCTGATTTTTCACACTAGCTATGTGGTCACCCTACTTACGACCCATTGTGTGCTACGTCATTGAGCTTCTGTTTTACCCCAAGAATGCCATAAAACCTATACAGTTGTTTTCCTTACCATAGTCCTATGTATAGGATGCCTGTATTAGGAACAATCCACTAAAAATGCTCTAAGTCCTCTGACATGCTCAATTGCGAAAGGGCTCCTTGTGGCTGATTAGCAGTAAGCTATAGAGGTCAGTCATGGATATGAAATAGACTGCTTCTCAAAGCACAGGTAGTTAGTAAAAAGAATTTGGTAGCTGGGGAGAGGCAGCTGATTTGTGGGTACTGTGGGAAGTAGTTGCAACTAAGAATCATTAACTGTTGGGTTCCACAAAATGGCACCAAATGGCACTTTTGTTACATATCTTCTGGCAAACTTTATAATGAATAAAAACTCTCAAAGTAAAATGTTCAAAAAACGAGTATAGGTATTTCAGGTTATTTGACTGCAGAGTAAACTCATTCCTATTAAAATATGAGTTCAGAGGACTGTGGCATCATTTTTGTAATGAGGTATTGCATTGTTACAGAATATGTCATACTCTGTGTTAGAGTACATGCCATCATATTGTAAAATATACTGCTAGTTTTACTACATTGTATCAGTATGGGGGAGGCCTGTTTCTTCAGTGCTCTGAATCTGGCAAACAAGCTGAAGGCTGCAGATAAAGATAGGGAAAAGGGAGAGGATAACTAACAACACATAAGCTTTTTACTTTTTAAAGGCCTGATCCTACTCTCCTTTAAGTTAAAAATCTTTCAGTTGATTTTAGTGCGAGTTAGATGAGAACTGATGTTACTAATGCAATTCTGGCTGAGGCTGGTAATAATAAAATGTCATAACCATCTGAGAGCTGGCTGTGAGCTGGTGAAATGAATTGATTCTCAGTCCAGTTCCTAGTAGCATCTATATTAGTATGTGGTCTATACCACTGACCCTTCCAGTGTTGAGGGACATAGAGCGTGTGGTTGTGGGGGCTGCTAGTAAAGCCATCTTCCAAGTACAGCTTGTAAATAAATTGTTATGTAGTGATACCCAAGACTCTGAATAGCATTCAAATGTGTTTGCAGCTCTAAGAAAAAATAAGGTTCAAATATACTGTAACACAGCCTGCTAATGGAGGAGCAAATTAGCTGCAGTTTTTGAACTTCTGAAGTAATTGATAGGCTTTAGCATTCTAAATTGTATTATGTTTTTGGTATTATATATTGGTAATGCAGCTACCCATGCTGATGTTTCTCAGCCTGTCATAGCAACTGGTCTTGATAGATTTCTGCAGTGATAACATCTCTACATTCTTCTTGCCAGGCACACACCTTTTTAACAGCAACGAATTTAGTAACTGACAATAGCAAGAGGGGTTGTTTTTTTTTGTAATGATTTGAAAGAAATTTATATGTAAAAGCAAATGGATGAATTAAAAACATTAAATAGCTTCACCACCATCCACATGGATGAATTGTTGAGATCTATTTTTTTCTTGCACTATAAACATATGGCATGAATTTGCTGCTCTCATTACAGATGCTGAGAGAAGGGAAAGACAAATATTTATATTACATTCATGTTTTACAGTAAAAACACTGTTCAGTTTGTTTATACAGTTCCACTGTTACAGTTTTTATGGTTGGTAATGAAACCACTGTAAAACAGAGTCTGAATTATATAGCAGATGTGTTAAGGCCCTTGCATTCAGAAAGATGCCCAACATTGAATAGTTATCATTTCTATAGAATCAATCTACTGACTACAGCTGAACTATTTCAGACCTTTGTCGACATGTACAGTTAGCCTTGTACCATTATTGTAGTAAAGATGTAGTTTTATTATCCAAATACATTGATATTTTACAAGAATAACATTTTATGAACTATAAAGCAGACTTCTAGTCACTGTGAGTGGGTGCGGGAGGCTTTAAAGGATTTGGTAGGCATTTTCCAGTCATTTAAGACCTCATATGGCTTCCATTTTCATTAAACATTATGAATGCATTCCAAATGTTTAATTAATATAACATCTTCCTCTTTATTCACTTTAATTTCTTGCCACGGTTATGAGAACTTGGAAGTGTTTTGATTCTTTTTCAGTTGATAAAGAACTGTTATTCCAAAGAATGTGTGCGCTAAATACATGAATTAGTAAAAACAAAAAATATTTCTTAAAAGTTAGTTTTTCACTGTGTTTATGTATTTGAAAGTATCAGTAGAAAATATCTAGTCAGTTACCTTTCCACTAATACCCTTTTTATACAATCTACCTACAGCCAAAAATATACACTGTTGATTTCAGATTTATAGAAGTTATTAATATTATTTCTATAGTGCCAGAGGTTTGCCTGGTACTGTAAAGACAAACCCTGTAGAAACAGCTTATGTTCCTGCCCAAAAGCGTTTACTATCTCAGTTCTAGATGCTACAAGCACTTATTGCTAAATGTAGTGCTTCCTATCATGAGTGGTCACACTGGCTCCAGTTGCACTGTTCATGGTAGTGAGCACTGTGCTTAGTGTTAAATGGTATCAGTACTTGGCCCTTATTCGGTAAACAAAAGGTTAGGAAAAGAAATGGGGTCTGCATTTTTTAGTTCAGTTTCTTGTAGTTCCAAGGCTTTTTGTCAAAACTTATCAGAGATCACTGCAGAAATGGTTTAGCAGTGGCTGGCAAGCTGAAAGAAGAGCATAAAAGGGGACTTTGAAGAATTTGAAGTGGCTAGGCACAGTGGAGGGCGGGATTGTTCCCTGCATAAGAAATAGTATTCAGAATGGCTGGTGATGTGAGTGGTTGAAGCAGAGAGCCCTTTATAAGGTGGGAAGACTTGGGTGAGGGAATAGTATGATCTTTGGGAAGAGAAAAAGGAAGGGGCAGCACAGGGAAGAACACTGAAGCTGAGGATGAGGAGTGTCCTGTGGAAAGAAACAGGAAGTGTGTTGGAAGGGTTTTAGCAGAGAGGAAGAATGATTGAAATGGTGGCAAAGGAAAATAGTTGTGGGTGGGGTAGGTTGACTGGATTAGTAAAAGGGGCAGAGATGATGGGTAGGGAGATTCGACTGCGGTGGTTGCAATAGTCCTAGTGGAAGAAATGAGGGTGTGATTCTCACAACAGTAGGGGATGCT